TATGCCTCCATCACCGTTGGATGGATATTTGACTTGAAGATAATATTTTTCACTGGTTCTCAATACGATAATTTTGTGTTTGATGTTGTTGGTATTTGCTTCGTCATACCCAATTATGCAGGTTGCTCTCAACTCTCCAACAGTTTCATGTGCTAATTTGCGAAATTAAATGTATGTAGTGTTTTGTCATTTGGTGTGTGTATAGCTATTATGTAGATTTCAGTGGGTTTGGCTACCACTTGCTGTGCATCATCTGTGTCCAAGACCTGAACGCTCCATTAGTCACACTCCTTTCTCGTTAAGAGCTCTCTTCGTCCGGCTATTCATATCACGGCGAAGCAGATCTTGTATGTCCCCAACAAATTGGTCCTAATTCATCTCTTTTTCTATCTCTTCTCCTCCATGCAGTGTTAGACACGGCAGGACAAGACGAATTCAGTGCCATGCGTGAGCTGTATATGCGCAAGGGTCACGGTTTCATAATCGTCTATTCGGTGACGGATCAGCAGAGCTTCCGACAAGTACGGCGTTTCTACACCCAAATCCTGCGAGCACGGGATCGCGACTCCTATCCCATGATTCTAGCAGCCAACAAAATTGACCTAGTGCAACAACGAGTAGTCACTCCAGAGGAGGGGCAGACTTTGGCCCAGGAACTTGGTGTGCGTTTATCCCTCCTCGCCTTACGTATATTATGCGAATCACTGCTGCGGAGTTATTATTTACACCCTGGGCGGGATGAAGCAGGGAACATGTGAATAGTTATCACTATTTACATCGTTTATTTAGCTGTATACTCTATCATGATATGGGCTTGATTTTTGTTTTTCCACTCACCTCCTCTATCATGGATTTACACAGACTCAAGGAGTAGCTACTCTGTTCACCTTTATGCTCGATTATTGGGAGCCATTTGCCACGGTTGACGTCTCGTTTTTCTTGTCAGAACTTGCGCTTCACATATGTGTGACGCACTCGATGTAAAATTTGGCTGATCATGTGTAATCAATTGAGCTATTATAATATGAAAAGGGAACATTTAGGTGGACATAGTGATCGGCCTTTATTTTGCAACTCTAGTAGTGAATGCACTCATTAATCAAGTCTCTGTTGTGTCTGGAGTTTGTGCCTCGATTCTCTTCTATGGCCAGACTAGACGCAATAATTGCGTCAGCTTTTGGATATACCATCACATAGCAGTTCCTGGGACTGCATCCATGGTTCAGGTGGTTGTGATATCCTTCCACCATTCATCTCATTTTGAAAGAAGAGAGAAAAGCAATGAACACTTCCCTCTACTGAGCTCGTGGAATTTGGGAAGGAAGGCAGATGATGGTCTGACTCGTGTCACTCCTAATTGATGTGATTACGGTCTTTCTTTTCAGGTACGGTATATTGAGACCAGTGCGAAGAATCCCCCCGTCAATGTGGATCTAATCTTTCATGATCTCATTCGAATCATTCGGTAGGTTCTAATTCCATAGTGTGTGGTGTGTGATGATTAGCCTTGTTCCCCTTTTTTTCTCTGCGCTAATGTTTTGCAGCATTAGTTACTCGCACACCGTCTACTATGGCAAGGCTACGTGTCGTTTCTTTCTTGTAATCAAAAAATTAGCAATTCTTCCTGAATGAATCAAGTCAGGCGTTATAAAAGCTGTTACTTTGGCTTACAACTTGTGCAAACTAGCGGGATCATATGACAACTGTATTGGGGTGTTTGAATGGCTCATGAAAACCCGCAATCAGTTGAAGCATGCATGTTAAAGCACTTGCGTTTGACAATCGTTGGGGAAATTGGATTGCTACTGAATGACTAATAAGTAGTGTGTCTATGAGTTTAGAAAACAGCCAGCCAGTCCTCCACCGACGGGCCAGAAACGGCGACCACGAAAAGTGAAATGCACTTGCCTCTAGGCAATGACTAAGCAGAAGAAAGAGAAGGCTTCTGTGATTGCTCCACCACCGTTTTCCTTCTCCTTTTCTCGCGCTACGTTTTGCCGCACCTTGTGTTCCCACTGAGCTTGCCGCGACGACGTCAACCACTGCCTGAACAAGTCGCCCTCTTCAGTGCATGCGCCCATCCAAAAATTCGTCCTCATCATCTCTGCCCCTCATTTGGTCCTGCGTGTTCTCCCTTTCAAAGTGTTTCTTTTAAAACACTGCACACTGGATTTGTAAATATTCGTTAAATTACGCGCTGCTGGTCGCTGCTATCCGCGTGTAAGTAATGGTACTTTCCTCCACCTTCCACAATAAGATTAAATCTGCTCCCTCTCTCCAAATGCTGCTAAATTCGTTTTATTGTTAATTCATTTCCTCGTTTCCTCCTTCCTCTCGCATATGCACAAAAAAACTTGCGAATACACATGCCCTGATTCGTTTTCACTAAGGGTATTCGTGATTCCACTTTTGCTTGTGCTGTCTTGTCCCCATCCATCCTTTCTATCCTCCAGTGCTAATGGCCTGAAGAAGTTTATTGTTCTCGATTTCATCAGTAGGGCTGGGTAAGACCCTGCAACAAGTGCATCTTGCACTTTAGCGATTGATCGTGGGTAGTAGAATACGAGCTTTAGTGACTTCAAAGTTTGCTTTGCACTGGTTTCATTCGAATGCGTCAGAGGTGATAGAATATCACGGGGTGGACAGATCTGCCAATCATTGTCAGCCACAGTGCACTCACTTTGAGCCATTTGAATCTCATCCAATGTCATAACAAAGTTTCTCTTTGCAAAGACTCCCTTAATTATCACCCTGTTTCATTCATCTGAAAGACTGGGAGACTCTAGGTGTAGCCATGTTTAAGACAAGACCTTTGTCACACACTTCGACTGCAGTAACATTAGTCACAGGTCCCAGGCGAAATGCTAAGCAGACACAATCAAGTCCTCTGTTCATGATGCCTTTTATTCCGATTAAGTCGTTCATTGCCAACATTTCAGGCACAAGTTGTATTACTGATCAACGTACAAGCAATTTACCCAAGATTGGAAGAATCTTATTTTATTGAAGCAAATTACAAGTAGTATCATGATAACGCCACCACAGCGGTACAAAAAAGTGAAATCGAGACGAAATTAAAGCAAGCAGATGGAGGAGAGTTTGGGGGTCACCACCTACTTGGCTTAAGTAAGACGCATTTTGCACGTCTCAATAACTTTATGTGCCACTGCCTCCTTCATTTGATCTATGTCAACTTCACGAAGAACGATGGCGTGACCTTTCATAATGCTGTTTTGCACTGCGTTACACCAAGCCGTCTCCAGAGTGGAAAGCTGCTCGTCCACTTCGTCCGTACTTTGAACTGGATCCTCCATGCCAAAGCATTCGACAACTATGGCGAGTGGAGACGGCCATAAAGACGTACATTGAGCGCTTGACGTTGTGGTACGTAGCTGCGCATGCAGAGCCATAAAGTTAGTGGTTTGGATATAAATCCAAAATCCTAATTTCCAAAAGCCTGAATCACATCTTTCCCATTCATTCCCACAGAATGGATCATATAGAATCGTGGCATGAACACGATGGCTAGTGCGCAGTACTCCTGATTTGGAAGAACTGTGTATCGTATGCATATTTACACATTTTCCAGGAGTTCACTATCACACCTTACCAATAGTCTCTTAAGCTCACGGGAGGGTTTCCAGGCCGTATTTAATCTCACCAAGGTTTTTCATGCTTTAGTTTATAAAAATAAGCTCTATTTATTTGTTTACCCCACCCCAATATTCAATGCTTCCTATCACGCGTCATCATGACCAAGATTGTTGGGTAAGACTGAGTCAACGCCATATGGCGATTCTAGTAAACAGATCAGTCTAAACGAATGCTTACATTTATATGTGCAACTGTCAAAAGTAAATGCTTGAAGAATAAGGGCAAATTTATCAAGAACGATTATAAGTCGTCCAGACCTCTGCATTCTGGAGAAAACCGTATTGCATTACACAACACGATCGGCTCGAGCCGTCAATAGGGGAAATGCGAGTACATTGAACACTTGATTTAATTTAGGCCTGTTAAGTATATATGACCTCCTGACCTCGGCGGTGGCCTTAATATCTGCAAACAGCTAAATCAAATCGCTACGAGACACTTCGCTTTCAATTTCCGATCTGGTAGACTGTACACACTTAACATCCACAGCCTCTTCTTCGCCGATATGAACCATTCCATCTTCAGAAGTGACTTGAACGGCTATATTCGCAACAAAGGTAAATAAACACGACCAAAACAAGTATTAACCTCAACAACTATGCTAAGTCTATGTGCCACCTGCAGAATGTACCTTGAATGGTCCAATCCTAAGGATATTACTCTTCAGGGATTATAAAAAAAAGACACTTTCGCCACTCAAGAAAACTAGCTTACTAAATTCTTGTTGATGTAGGAGTATCTCTCCGAATCCTCCTTGAAAAGGGTGCCGTATGTCATAAAATTCATCCAGTTTTCCAAAACTCCAACGGTCTCCTCGGTCAGATTCGTATTACTCCCTTGGTCCTTTTGACCCTTCGACTGGAGACAGTAGAACTCCAGTGCCACAGCAAAGGCCCAGAAGAGGGAGGGTGGAGTTGCTAAGAGGGACTTAGCCTTAGAATTAAGAGTTGACACACCGAGACGTAAGTTAAGTGGCCAATTGTTTGACTGGTGGCAAGCTTCACTTTGATGCTCGTTGAAACGCTGATCGTCTGCTGGACACAAACCCAGGTGAAGACATGGAATAACAGCGAGACGACTTCGTAGGCTCTCAAAAAGACGTCTTATCTTCAGAATTGAACGCCAAGTACAACCGAAAGGGGACATCTCTTCGCCTCCCTTAATGAAAGCGGAATACCTGTCTTGGACGTTGAACTACAAATAAAGGTAATAAAAATGTGTCTATCAAAAAGTTCAGCAGGGCAAACCATCTTTTCAACTAATTGAACACACCGGAGGAAGACACTTCCACCATATGGGATTGGAAAATACTTGAAATTTTACAATATCAGAGGAGCGGCGGTCGTGAGTGCCTTGTAGGTAAGTGACGGACACCGAAATGTCGGGAAATTCTTTGGAAATAAACTCCGACAGGTTTTTGGCACATAACCTCAGGTATTGGTCAACTTTGGGTGTGATGAAAAAGGTACTGGGAACTATATCAATGTGAGCAACACGATAAGACACTTTGGACGAAGGCACAGACTTCAAGGAAAAGGCCACATCAGACTCCATGTTTCCAATTGGTCCTTCTTGGCTTGAATCCATCACTTAATCAAAAGACAATGGAAGATAATATCTGATTGTAAATTAAGAAAATCATCAGGTATAGGAACATGAACCTTGTCACGGGAACAAACCATTCCAACCTCCAATAAGGGCAGACTTACCTGCAGAGCACAAGTAGCTTAGCATGTTAGAATACAGGCCATTCCTATGATAACGAGCAACAGAAGATTATCGACACAGACACCTTAAAAAGTTAATCCATAAGGCAATGAGATGAAACGTAAATGCTAGTGGGCCAAGGCACTTAAAAACATGGGAACCGATAACGCAATTCCAATATCAGTAAGGAAAAAAAACAGTAACGTAGAATCTTTGTAAGCGAGTACAAACGACATGTAAGACGCCAAAAA